TTACCTGTGCCCCTACCATACCTGTGCCCCTACCATACCTGTGCCCCTACCATACCTGTACCCCTACCTTACCTGTGCCCCTACCTTACCTGTGCCCCTACCATACCTGTGCTGTAACGTGCGACAAGAGCTGTCACGAAACTATTTGCATATTGCGTTCTACTTCAGACCTGCTGGAGAAGTCACGTGTGGTGTCTCAGGCTCCATTAGAGCGCAGCTACCATATTTTCTATCAGCAGATGTCCGGTGGAATCCCGGCTATGAAAGGTAGGAATAATATTAGCATCTATTATCTATTGCATCTATCAGATTTCTTCTCCTGAAAAAGACCGTGTTCAGTACATGTATTTGTATTTGAGTTACATGCAATAAAGATTTAATAAAATTAATTAAAAAAAAAACGTTATCTTTTCACACAAACTGTCCCCACGCATCATCTTGGAACCACTAGTAATAGAAATATAGCTATTAACGTGCTAACGAAATATCCTACAGGGCAACACGATCCGCTATTATAAATACATACGCCTTAAAATTATACCCGATTATGAGCTCCGAATTAAAAAAGCGATTAATACACACACACAATATTCGGAAAAATTGTCGAATACATCGAGACAAATATGAAACTATTCGTATATAATATCCGCTCACATTTTACTTCTAATCTTTTATAGAAAAGTGTCTGTTGACGGATGCGATTGAGACTTACTACTTCATCGCCCAGGGCAAGACCTATATCGACGGTGTGGATGATGGCGAAGAGATGAAAGCAACGGACGTAGGTTTTTCATTCGTAATAATGCTTCATTCAACGCGGATTGTACTTCAACTATTATTCTCGTGTTAGCGTCTTGACGTAACAAACGTTGATCGTGGGTGCCACGCGTCCACATTGTCGAAGGAACGACTGAAGAGTCGCATGGGTTTTTCGTCATTCAACATCCGCCTACTATGTCATGTCATTTGCTATGTCGTTATTATCTATACATAATAGATATAGTTATTAGATATTATCAGAAGTATATAATAGGGAATTCCCTATTATCTACTTCTGATATTATATATAAGAGCTATGTATACAAGCACAATAATAAAACAATAATAAGCTTAATAATAACAGCAGTAATAATGCCATGTACAACAATGTAGATTCCCTAGTAATACCTTGGTAACATCCTTGCGCTGGTAAACGCTTTTCAGGAAGCCTTCGACATTCTCGGCTTCAACGACAAAGAGAAATGGGACATCTACAACATTGTCGCCGCTGTCATGCACATGGGAGTCATGCAGTTCAAGCAGAGGCCCAGAGAGGAGCAGGCTGAGGCCGACGGCACCGAGTCGGGAGCGAAGGTCGCCCACGTGCTCGGTGTCTCCGATGCAGACTTCTACAAGGGTCTGCTGAAGCCTCGGGTCAAGGTCGGCTCGGAGTACGTCACCAAGGGTCAGAACAAGGAGCAATGCTTCTCGGCGGTGTCCGGCTTGGCGAAGGCCATTTACGACCGCATGTTCCGCTCCCTCGTAGACAAGGTCAACGACACGCTGGCGACCAAAACCAAGAAGCAGTTCTTCATCGGCGTGCTGGATATCGCCGGCTTCGAGATCTTCGACTTCAACGGCTTCGAGCAGATCTGCATCAACTTCACCAACGAGAAGCTGCAGCAGTTCTTCAACCATCACATGTTCGTGTTGGAGCAGGAAGAGTACAAGCGCGAGGGCATCGAATGGACCTTCATTGATTTCGGGTTGGATCTGCAGGCCTGCATCGACATGATTGAGAGAGTGAGTGCACACAACGACTATACATCACTAACTATACATGTGAAGCCCCTCGCTCCTCAACAGTAGCAGAGTTTCCGCTCCTGATGCGGGGTGAAGGACTACACATGTAGATTTACTACGCTACTTGAGTATGATATACTTACTACAAACTCGAGCATAGCATGCATTGAAATATATATGAATGTGTCAACTGTTTCACAACAACATAAAGCATTCAACTGAAGAGTTATTTTTACAACAACAGAATGATTGATTTAATAAAAAGCAAGGCACAACTTGCGAAAATATAGATCTACAAAACATCTAACACTTTACAGCCGATGGGCGTGTTCGCCATTCTCGAAGAGGAATCCATGTTCCCGAAGGCAACCGACAAGACCTTCCTCGAGAAAATGCAAGTGAACCATCTAGGAAAGTCCAAGAGCTTCGTCAAGCCCAAGCCGGCGAAGGCGGGGCAGGCCGAGGCTCACTTCGGCGTTATCCATTACGCGGGTACCGTCAACTACAACGTCAACCACTGGCTGGACAAGAACAAGGATCCCATCAACGACACTGTAGCTGTCACGTTCGCCAAGTCGCACGGCAATACGCTGCTAGCTAAGCTGTTCGCCGACAAACTGGTGGCGGACGAGGACACCGGTGGCAAGGGAAAGAGGAAGAAGGGATCAGCCTTCCAGACCGTGTCTGCTCTCTACAGAGTGAGTAGACTCTTAGCGTAATCGTTACATATATTAGCATAAGAGTGTGATTATTATCATCGTTATTATTATTATTATTGTTATTATTATTATTATTATTATTATTATTATTATTATTGCTGTTGTTGTTGCAGTAGTAGTAGTAGTAGTAGTAGTAGTAGTAGTAGTAGTAGTAGTAGTTAGTAGTAGTAGTAGTAAGTAATAGTTAGTAGTAGTATATTATATAGTAGTAATAGCAGTAGTAGTAGTAGTAGTAGTAGTAGTAGTAGTAATAGTATAGTCGTGGTTGTTGTTATTCTTCTTCTTCTTCTTCTTATTATTATTATTATCGTTGTTGTTGTTGTTGTTGTTGTTGTTGTTATATAGATAAGTTACTGCTACTAATATATCGCTAGTTGCCATAAAACTATAGTAGATAAATTGCTATGCAGCATACCGACATTGTGATTTTATTCCTCTGTATATATACTAACGAATTGATTAATTGCTGCCACTTACAGGAGCAACTGAACAAGCTGATGTCTACATTGATGAACACTCAACCTCATTTCGTGCGCTGCATCATCCCTAACGAGAACAAGGAAGGTGGCGCCATCGACGCCGCTTTGGTCATGAACCAGCTGACGTGCAACGGTGTACTGGAAGGAATCCGCATCTGCCGCAAGGGCTTCCCAAACAGGCTGGTGTACGGCGACTTCAAGCAGAGGTGAGTGATAGCGATAGTTTAACGCGTGTTAGCTCACGTAAAAATAAACGCGAAATTATCCCGCCTCGTTATTATGTTAGTTCACAGCGACTTCGAGTGACGGTGAGTTATAAGGATGATTTAGCGTGTGTCACATCGTAGAACAGAGATGAACACAACATTATCCGAAAATTCATGTAACAACTGAATGTATTCGCCTAAAGACATTTTTGATTGGATCTAATATATAACGCCAACACGTGCTAGTGTGTAGAGCTCACAATTTATTATAAGTGAAAATACGTATTTGCCTAGATAATCCAACAGCAATAAAAATTTGAATATTATACTACGCAAGACAGCAACACAACATACCTTTTTACTTCCTCGCACAGTAATACTACGCACTTTATTTACGACATTAGATAGAAATGCCATGTACTTTATATACGACCGCAGACAGTATTACCAAAGAGCCTATATTGGCTCTCAATATAGACTATATATAGGCTATATATATACTATATAGACTATTAATATAGGCTATATATATGTATATATAGACTATATAGGCTATTAATATAGGCTATATATATGTATATATAG